TGGCCTAAACTAACTGTAAAATCAATGTAATTTGGTGATCTCAACAGCCTCTAGAGTTCGAATCATTGAGTGAGCAAGTTCACATCCATTTTTTTGTTGATAAAATTGTCGATTAGCCATTATGAATCAACAAAAAATGATTAGATTTAACAAATGTATGTCGAACAATATCCAAAAATAAGTTTCACGAGCAAGAGACAGTCAAGAGTCGAGATGAGTATGATTCAGATTTTTTAAAACTTCAAGTAAATCGAAACTGAAGAAGAAATTTTAAAAAATTTCATTAGAGACAATTAAAATGATGTTATTTTTATTTCAATTTATTCGTCTTGTTTCAAACAATAGGGATCGAACCTCCTTTCTTTATAGTAGAGGATTTTGATGTATTAGAAAGCTTCTTCATAACAGAAGGCATCAGTAAGAAATGATGCCTCAGGTATAACAAAGCGCTCACCTTTAATGAATTGAGCCTTAACTCTTTTCTTCATATTTTTGTTATCTTGACAAATTTTTCCATTCACCAAATTAATACGATTCTCTAAAAAACATTTCCAATTATCAATCATTAAAGAAATTTCTTAGTGCAGCCCCTACAGTGACTAAAATATGACACTGTTTTAGTTCATATAAACGAACATTTAATTTTGTAGATATATATACGTATATATTTGCCTAATACAAACTACTTTGAAGACTGGAGTAAGTGATATAAAAAAAGATTTAATAATAACTAAATATTTATTTGTTTATTCAATAGTGATCAACGTAGCAAGTTTTTCTACGACGCATCTGTTTGTAACTAGGAGGAGCTGCCCGCCAGGAAACGGATGAGAGAATGAAAAGACTCGACATGAACTGATACTCACATTTTGAATATGTAACTCATGTCGTCAAAATCGCGCAAAAATCGTCTAAAGTGGCGCTTTTCGTAAAAAATCGCGATTATTCAAATGATATTTCCAATGATCGATCCTAGCCATAGCATTTGAACCTATACCTATGACTAGGTCTCGACCTATATACCATTGTCGCGTATCACCGTACTGATACATGTTTCTCATGAAAAGGGGTGTTGGCTTAGTATTACCATTAAATTAATACTAACAGCAATACCTTTGTGTTACGATCATAAACGAAAAGTATTCAAGCTTGTATTGATTAATGCCGTGCTAACATGAAGTATCCCTGACTTATTTCAATTCTTTTATGTTCCAATTTTTATTTCAAAAGCATTGTAACTACTATTGAATCAATGCAATATTGCATCAATTTAACAGTAGCTACAATGCTTCTGTATTAAAAATGTCACAAAAGAGTATCGAAATTATTCAGGGTTACGGCTTTGCTTTAGCATTACATTGATTAATAAAAATTGCAATATTTTTCTCTTAGAATCGTAACAAGTGTTGCTCTTAGCATTAGTCTAATGCTCATGCTAAGTCGACACTCCTACTTGCGAATGAGACAATATCGTTCTCCCCATTCACAGTAAATAAAACAAAATAAAATAATACCTATTATTCGTTGAGACAATCGAATGATCTAAATAAAAACGAATATATGCGTATACAATGATACTTACCCGTTCATTGTGCTGATCAGATGACCTCAAGAAAAGAATAAAACATTATTTTATTGAATAATACTTACCGTTCATTGAAATGTTGCGATGGCCTACATAAAAGAAAAAAAATTATTTATCTTTATAAATCATAATATTTACTGTTCATTAAGATGTTCAGACGATCCAAATAAACGAAAAAAAAACACTTATTTTTGTAAATTAGTACTTGTTGCTGAAATTTGTTGCAGAATCACCGATTAATCGCGATTTATTGTGATATTCAAAAAGTCGCCAATTAATCGTCGATTTTTCCGGATATTGCGATTAATTGCCAAACGTAACGCGATTTTGATGACATGGGAAGTTCTACAAAATATGCATTATAGTAAAATTTCAATAAACGATTTTGTTCTTAGGGAACAGTGTGCTGATTAATTAATATAAGGTGTAATATGTTACATGGATCAAAACTAAGTTTTATCATAATTATTGTTTCGATTAATATGAAAATTAAATTAATTTATTTATAACACATCGATTATTACAATGATAAATAATAACTAATAATCTTATACTATCGTATTTTATATTTGTACCATTAACTCGTAAATTATAAGTTATCAATTGTAATAAACCAAATCTTGAAATTAAAACAAAAATTGTGACCAAAATCAGTAGTGCATGCCATCAAAGTAAATACTACTAGGATTGGTACACACCACAGTCTACTTGGCTCTCTCAATCATTTATTGTCGCCGTCAGTCAAATGTACCAATTGTTTTCTGAACTTTTCTTGATGCAGATAGTGTTAGTTCTGGTTCGGTACAAATAGATGCCAATATTATATAACTAAACATTATCATCTATTAATATGCATCCTTTTACATTATTTGGGTTCTTTCTTCCTTTTTCTTTTTTCTTCAAATAATAACTTTTTTCTTGATTTGCATCATAAGAAACTCTTGATTACAATTCAACATAGATTAACTCTCATACTTTTTGTCTTAATTTTCAAATTTTAATTCGAACAAAATAATTCTCTATTTTTAAATGTATTAAATGGTTATCAGAAGCAAACACACACCAATCTGTCTTGGTGAGAAGACAACTAACTTATTTTATGGTCACTCTGTTTAAGTATACTATATCATTTAAAGAGACTAGTGTATCCGTTGTATAATATATTTCATAGATTTCACAATCACCTTGCAAGTCTTCTATCCGGCAAAAATCCTTACAAATAGACAGCAAGATAAATGACAGTAATGTGAAGCATGGGCATCAATTACATACTTTATTATCACCAATTTAAATACATTTCATCATAATAGTGAACATTGTATTTTCTTGTGGAGAAAATAAAGATGCTTATGTATCTTATCATCTTTTTTTAAATCAAGTAATAGAATCAATAATAATATTACAGCTGCTGTAGAGACAAAAAAAAACTATATAATTCATGTAATGGACACGCCTATAATGTGTTTTCTTATTTTACTTTCGTATATACTGACACCATAGATGTATACTGCAAAAGTCAATTTTTAACAAGCAATTTCTTTGTCTCTGATGTACTTCAACACCGACTTTATTCTATAAATACAAATAGTCTATGGTATCAGTATTCTATGAGTTTGATCTTTCTTAAGAAAGCTAATTGACCAAAGATAGGATCTATTTCGATCTGTAATATTTTGTGTTCAACATATTTTGAAATAAATTGAGAAGAATTATGATTGATTGCATTATTACTCTTCTGTAATACTCCTATTGCTAGATAATAATTTGATAATTCAAAAATGTTTTCTTATAGATCTGTCTCATGAAAACATTCATTTTATTCGGCATGATCTATAGAAGATATCCTACATCATCATTAACATTCGTTCGAAAGATCAAAAGTTTAAAGCTTATAAAAGATTAGGAGAAATATATGCAAAAGCGTCTTAGAATTAATGGAAAGTTTAACGAAAATTTCTACGTCTTCTGTTTAGAACTGGTAAATCCAAAGTCATGGATGGTGTACAATCCTAATGGACAAAGCTTCAATAGCCCTTCATAATTTATATTATGAGATGCTATACATGTATTGTACTCAAAATTAAAATTCAGTCAAAATAAAAATTTCAATTTTAACTAGACGAAATTGACATTTCTTTTTTGACGAACAGAAAAAGGTAAAATCTTGATAATAAAGGGTATGAATGTGAGTGTAGTTCTGAAGTAGGAGTGTAACACATCTAAAAAAGATTTGAGATTTGGAATCAAGGGTCTTGAAATTTGAAGCAAGAATTTACTTTTGAACCACATCCACATGAACAGTTTGCAATTTGGCGACCGTTACCGAAATGCAAACTATTTATATTATTTTTGTTCAAGACCAAATCAAAATACAAAATACTACGGGTTTGGTTTCAAATCAGAAAATTTTTTTCTGGTTGTGCCGCATCTTTAGTAAAGTAGATTATTGCTGATGTCACCATATTTTACCAAATTCTTTCTGATGCAGGTCATTTTAATCGAAATCCAAACCAAATAATATCAAATTCCAAAACTTTCGATTTGTTGCACTCCTAGTCTGGAGACGTCGGTGTAGATGTTGATGTATGGGTTTTGAGAGTTTGGCTATGGGTGTAGATATTGGCATGGACTGTGCCTGGTTCGTGGCTGTTTCGTTTTGGAAATGGATATAGATGAGTGTGAGGTTCTTATTGCGCCTGCGCTTACATCATCACATAGAATTTTTTAATAAGTTTTGTGAAATAAATAAAGTTTGTGTGCTACTTAAATTATTTGTCTTTCTTTACCCTTTCCTGTTTATCAACAAAGAAATTTCAATTTTGTCTGATCAAAATTGAAATTATAATTTTGACTATAACATATATATCTATGTACATATATATTGATTTTGATAATTTTTGCTGATTTATATATAGATCAGTGAGAAAAACTAATAATATGCTGATCAGAAGGATCCATAAGCATTTTTTTTTTGAATTAGTTATTATTGATCGAATGCATTTAGAGAGTAGATGAAATATGTGTTTCAAAAGGACTAAAAGTCTATTTGTAGCAATAAACAATAGGTTTCAACATCATTGAATGTTGAATGAAATAATTAGGATATTCTTTTTTGTATGATATTCTTTTGTGATGACATTGTTTGAAATATGCTGATAACATAAAGCAAACTTTGACCTTTATAATTTTTTACGAATTAAACAACAAGAAAAGGTTACTGAGCTTTCTTCTCTATAATGATGATCGAACAATACAAGCCTTTTACTTGTAAGTAGCATGTTTTAAAACTGCAACAAACGATGCACTTTTTATTTTTTGAGACACTCGATAAATTTATCTCTCTCTTATCAGTATTTATATTAATAGCGATGAAATTGTTTTCATATTAAATATTTTTTTACGGTCTCATTTCGACATGCGAACATTTCTTGTGCTTACATTCGTTACGATCAATTCTCTATTGAAGCATGTTCAAGCCAATCGAACAATTATAGTTCCTACTGAATATGGTGACGTACTTGGTTATGAAACAAGTATGGCTCGTATTTTTTACGGAATTCCATATGCACAGCCACCTATTGGCGACTTGAGGTATGCTATTACTTTAATATGTCTATTATGGTCGTCTCATATTGAATTCATAGATGGAATCGACCAGCACCTATTTCAAAATGGACTCCGAAAGTATTAAATGCTACAACACGTGCTCCAGCTTGTCCTCAACCACCATGTGGCGGTATTCCATCATTTCTTTGTCCTACAATAGTAGATAAATAAACGATCTATTTTATTATTACTTATAATATTGACCATTGTTTTCTTTTACATTAATTTAGTTCTCTGAGGATTGTCTTTACTTGAACATATTTACACCATTGCCAAGTAATTCAACATCATCACCTCGTCTACCCGTTATGATCTTTATTCCTGGTGGTAATTTCCAATATCTTGATGCTTCGGTACCAGTCTATGAATCTGAACGAATTGTTAATACTACGAATGTTATCATTGCTCTTATTCAATTTCGTCTTGGTAAAAAACAATTTCACATAGTAGACTGACATTTTTATTATTGAATATTTAAAAGGTGTACTTGGTTTTCTTGCAACGGGAACTAAACCAGATGATATAAAAGGTAACTATGGTATTCTTGATCAACGATTGGCTATTGCCTGGATTAAAGCGAATATTGATGCTTTCGGTGGAGATCCTAATCAGGTTTTCTATATAGATTAAGAATGAATTTAAATAAATTTCATTTCATTTTTACAGATAACACTATTTGGTCAAAGTGCTGGAGCACAATCAGTGGCTTTACATCATATAACAAGTGAGATGCAATCGTTCTTTCAGGCGAGTATTATTCAAAGTGCTCCGATGGCGATTCCATTTCGGTAACAGTAATGACTATTGAATATAGAATGGTATTGTTCTCTTTAAATTTAGAACTTATGAACAATATATTACACCTGCTACTCTTCTTGCTGAAGTACTTCAATGTGCTGTTGGAGATATAAGCTGTTTACGCAAAGCATCTTCTCAGGACATAGCTACTGCTCAGACAAAAGTAAATGCTATGTTAACTTCGTTAGAATTTTTACTATTTTTTGAGCCATGGGTACCTGTAATTGACAATAATATTGTAAAAGGTCAACTTATTGAAATAGTACAGAATACATCTTTTCCACTTAAACCACTTGTAATTGGTACATTGACTGAAGAAGCAATTTTTTACATCTATGAAGCATGGGTAAAACCGGTCACATTGTCATTATATCTTGAAATTGTACTCTTCACGTTTCGTGAACATGCCGTTAAAGTGATGGAACGTTATCCACCTATTGAACTTAACGATTTACGGCCACTTCTATCTCAAATGGCTACACAATGGGTGTTTGCATGTCCGACACGTATTTATGCTCGTAAAGCTGCTTCATATTCGTATGTTTTTGGTTTTCCACTTGATTTTGATGGATGGGAAAACGAAACGTTTTGTAATAATCATGTCTGTCATGCTGGTGAACTACCTTTTACATTTGAATCAGCATGGGTTAATTTTACAGATGCTGGCAAACGTGTTTCAATGAGTATGGCTACTTATTGGACTAATTTTGCCAAGACTCATGATACAAACCAACCAGTACCACAGTCAATAGTATGGCCAAAAATGAATACTGATGAACCTTATTTGTACTTTCAAGATCCACTAGATGTTCGCAGCGCTTATTTGAAGGATGATTGTGACTTTTGGGACAAAATTGGTTACAAAACAATCCCTCCTATCTATGTCTAACTTATGGATTTAAAATGACTGAGAAATTAAACATTATCTTTTTGTCATATACACTACTTGACAAAAGTATCTCCCCCTCGGATCTCAGCCCATACAAGAGCTGAGCGGCTGAAAATTGGTGTGCAGACAGCCCATGAAGAATGTAGGTCAGCAGCACCATCTATACCACATTTGCTTGAGTGAGAATGGAGTTCTAATGAATGTCATTAGTATGCATTATGAACTTGATAACTCGAGAAAGGTAAGATATTTTGAGTCGGCCAACCTCTCATTTTGAAGCCCTACCTAGTAGCTATTTTCACTAAAAATTTCATTAAAGTTTATCTATCTATTCATGAACTATGATCATTTTAGTGTAAACATTGATAAACCGAAAAACTATATCATACCATTGAGAGATTAATAACTTAGTGATAATTCAATGAATTCATGTGAAATTTTCAGAAGATATTTTTCCATCATTGGGTATTGTGCTCTGAAAGTTTCAGAAGCAGATCTCTTACTAATGAGAAATGGCATATAGGTAAATGGCTGTTGAGTTCTTGTCAAGCCTCTAGACTCCCTGTAACTCGAGCAAATGGCCTCATCTTTTGACTACAGAAAGAGCATAGGTTGAGCTTCAAAATGAGAGGTTGGCCGACTCAAAATATCTTACCTTTCTCGAGTTATCAAGTTCATAATGCATAC